ACCAAGGTTCGCGGGACAGTACTCCAAACTGTAGCACGCCCGAGGCGAGAAACACAGAGGCTGGGCAAGACACAGCCATCTCTCGTAGTAGTGCCTGTCGGTTATCTGATCGGCCGTTCGCGGGCGCAACACACGATTGACATAGGACCCGCGGGCATACCAGAAGTTGTACCAAATAAAGCCCTCGTCAGCGATCCGTAGTCCGGCTTTGTCCACAAAGGGGAAGATGTCAAACGCTTCGAGCACTTGGCCTAAACCGCTGAAGAAAGGTTTCGTAAATGGCCCACGTTTGAACCCTGAATAGTTCCCAGCATGCGTGAGACCTTTCGAGTGCATGTATATTAGCACGTCGTCTCGTCGATTGTGGACTTGTCCTAGCTGCCATACATGATGGATCCCATGGTACTCGAAAGTCTCCCTATCCGGCTCATCGTAGCAGTGCAGCAAGGTTTGCCCAGGGCGCTGCTGTTGCAAATAAGAATGCGCTTTCTTCAAGCGGCGTTCCTTCCGACACAGGCGCGATGTCGCCACAATCTCTACATAGTGCACCCGATGAGGAATCTGCTTAGCCTGCTTATATATCCATGTATGGTAGTTTTCGTTCAGCTTGCAGTTGACAAAGAAGACACAACGAAGTGTGTAATTGGCTCGGTGGTCTGGAGTCAGCGGTAGGTCTCCATGCGATTCCTCAAGTGCTGTATGTCGGTACTTTCGTTGGAACGTTCGGAGCGTCTGCACACGATGCTCCTCCTTAGTAACAGAGACGCTTGCAGGAGCTCCATGAAGGTGTTTTGCAGCGATGAAGACACCAACAACGGAAGCCGCAGTGACAAGGCATTTGGCACGCCACGCCATCTCGACGTTTGTTAGCTCAAGGCTGCTTCAGTAAGATCCCTTAAGTTAAGACAGCAAGTGCCAATCTACATGAGATCTGACCTGACAAGCTTCATGGGTCATACTACGGCTAGAATGAACCCAAGTGCAGTAACAAGAACACCGCCATTTTGAGGGTTTACGAAAATAGGGCACCCCCCCCCCCCCCCCCCCAAATAGACCCCAAATAGTAGGATCATAAGGGTAAGGACCCCAGTAGGGTATCTCCCATATCGTAAGCCCCCATTCGTCTGAAAAAAGACAACACGACAACTTCAGAAATTCCCGGATACGTCAGGCCATGCTCCAGATTCTGCCAAAGCGCAAGGCACATCTACTGGGGAAGTGATACGACTCATAGTATAGGGTCAGGGTTTAGGGTTTAGGGTTTAGGGTTTAGGGTTTAGGGTTTAGGGTTTAGGGTTTAGGGTTTAGGGTTTAGGGTTTAGGGTTTAGGGTTTAGGGTTTAGGGTTTAGGGTTTAGGATTTAGGGGGTGAGCTGAGGAGGGCCGCGGGCTTGGAGGACTGGGTGGATGCGCGGTGAGGCGAAGGCAAGTACCCACCCACAAGCTCAAGATGTGAACTCGAGACTCTTCATGACCTTTGTGGGGTTTAGGGTCTAGGGTCTAGGGTTTAGGGTTTAGGGTTTAGGGTTTAGGGTTTAGGGTTTAGGGCCATCGTAAGGCCCCCGATTTCTTAGGGACTTCGGGTGCCGCAGTGAATCTTGAAACCCGAAACAAGGTTGAGCCCATAAGCCCATGTGCCCAATAAGCCCGCCAGCTAAACATCTTAACTCCAAGAGCTTGGTAATGAACAAAATGAACCCCTTACACCTCTACTACTAATTGCTTAAAAACCCCAAAAAACAAAGACATATTCTTCCTCATTAAGGGCAACATAGGGAGTATTGTTTTTGATTCGTTTTGGCTTCTCAAGCAAATAGCAGTCTATACAAAACTACTCTAGACGATCAAACAAAAACCCACGCCAGTCCGAGGCCTGAAGCCAAAAGGGTTTAGGGTTTAGGGTTTAGGGTTTAGGGTTTAGGGTTTAGGGTTTACGGTAAAAGTCCTAGGCCCTAAGCCCCAAAGCCCAAAAGAGTTTAGGCTCTTAAGACGTACTGTTGGTGGCTCATGGCTGACGTAGAAACCCTAAACCCTAAACCCTAAACCCTAAACCCTCAACCCTAAACCCTAAACCCTAAACCCTAAAACCAACTACAACGGCTCCGTCACCTCGAAGCTTGGGCTTCGCGGCCGGCATGGGTCGAGCGGGATCAGCTTAGGCTCTCGTCCAAGTTGCCCCAATGCACAATAGGGCTTGGGTTAGGGTTTAGGGTTTAGGGTTAGGGCAATTTAGGGTTTAGGGCTTAGAGTACCAGAAACTGTCTCACCTTGGTGAGTCGGGGGGCCTTGCTATTCGGGGAGCGGCTGATGAGCTCGGATAAGCAAGGTTCTCCCGCAACCTAGGAAAACAGTGTGTGTGCCCCTTCTTGTTCATGACTGGTTTAGCGGGTCTATAGGCTTTAGGGCTTGTAGGGTTGAGGCTTAATTAGGGTTCAGGCTTCAGGGTTAAAGTCCGCAGATGACAGGCAATGGGCTTTTTCAGCTTTCATTTGGGCTTGTGAGAGTCTGTAGACTTGCGGCGGGTAGGGTACTGTACTGTTTCCGCATGCGGATGCGCTCTTCTTGAAAAAGATGGCGACATTCAACATGGGCGCAGGGGAAAAGCGAATCACAGGCTGAGTATAAGGTGTCGTCAACTCAGACAGTGGCGTTATGTCTGGCTTTGCAATGCATGGCGCACCTGCAACGCGACCACTTATGCCGATAAACAAGTGAAGTATGCAAGCCTGACAAAGCCCCGAATGCCTTCACCCTGCACCTGATCCCTCTCCCGAAAAAGCATTACCGCCCCCCCCCCTCAGCTCTGTAAATCACAAGCATTTCTAATGTTAAGATATTCAATGCACGAAATCATTGTGGAATATCTGTAAGTTTACTATTTTGAAGTGATGACTTGTGTGGTATGGTGGTAGGTCGTTCGTAGAAAAGTACACCAATGGAACAAATGTCGATCATTGAAAACTTCTAAGAGATGCTTAGTCTACAAGCCTGAGCAAAGCAACCAGTCAACTACTTCTCAAAAGCTGAAGTCCAAACCTTGAACGTACCCCTGCAATCCAAACCCTAAGCCCTAAACTTAAACCGCATAAACCCTTTAAACCCTCAAACCAATAAACCCTAAACCCCTAACCCCTAACCCCTAAACCCTAACCCCTAACCCCTAAACCCTAAACCCCTAAACCCTAAACCCTAAACCCTAAACCCTAAACCCTAAACCCTAAACCCTAAACCCTAAACCCTAAACCCGCAGCCGAGCTTGTTCCTGGGCGGCTATGCTGTGCTCAAGCCTCTTTGAGCCGCATCGAAGAAACAATTGGAAGCATCTCAGGGTTTAGGGTTTAGGGTTTAGGGTTTTGGGTTTAGGGTTGCAGGGTTTCAGGGTTGTAGGGTTTAGGGGGTTGTGTGAGTTTGTTGTTTGGGTTTTAGCTAGATATACCCTAGACCCTTAACTACAAAGTCAAGGCCTCTTTTCCTGGGTCTGGGGTTTGGAACAAAAAGAAAAAAAGTCCCCCGGGATTAGGCTTCAGGGTTTTCTCCTAGTCCCAAAGCCCCCAATCCCTTGTCCGTAGTGTACATCCAAGGCGTTCGCCCCACTCAGGCTCAGCGGCAAGAAGTCTTTGGCCGCTGGTAGCCCAAAGCTTGCTGGTTCTTAGTAGGTTCTAGGGGTTTAGGGTTTTTGGGGTTTAGGGTTTTTGGGGTTTAGGGGTTTAGGGTTTTAGGGGTTTAGGGTTAGGGGTTTAGGGTTTTCTGGTTTAGGGTTTAGGGTTTTAGGGTTCTTCGGGAGAAACGAGACTAAACAGGCTGCCTTCTTTGGGGCCAACCAGGCTCATCACTTGCAGTGTAAAGGGATCCTGGCTAGAACAACATTAGAGAATATATGGGCGTCGGCTTCTTATCCCTAAACCCTAACCCTAAACCCTAAACCCTTATAAACCCTTATAAACCCTAAACCCTAATCCCTGAACCCTAAACCCAAAACCCAAGGCTCGTTTTGCTCTTATCCAACTTGGCAGCTTCCGATTGCCCCACTAAGAACCAGCAAGCAAAGCAGGCGGGGGGGCTCCTTGGAGTGACCTGGTCACGCTGAATAGGGTTTGATGTTTAGGGTTTAGGGTTTCGGGTTTCGGGTTTGGGGTTTGGGGCTTACGGCTTCATGGTGTAGGGTTTGGTGTTTAAGGTTCAGGGTTCAGGCTTCCAAACCCTTGAAACTCTGAACCGACTTAACGCTATACCCGAAACCCCTAAACTCTGGATTAAGGAAACCCCTAAACTCTGGATTAAGGGCTCAAGGTTCGTAATCGTTCATAGTCGTAAACCTGCAGGAGAAACCCTAAACCCTAAACCCTAAACCCTAAAACCCTAAACCCTAAACCCTGGAGTTTAGGCCTGAACCCTAAAAGGAATAGGTTCGGGTGGCTTTACCGCCTCGGACGGCAAGGGGTGGGAGAAAGGTGTTACATGGCCCTCGCAAGGGGGCTCTTCGCACCTCACGAAGCTTTCGAGCTTGTTCCAAAACTTAACCTTCGCAGCACCCACGCCCTATCACAGCAAACCCTAAACCCTAAACCCTAAACCCTTAACCCTAACCCCTAAACCCTAAACCCTAACCCTTAACCCTAAACCCCAAACCCCAGACCCTAAGTTGTGGCTTTAAGATTGCTCAGGGCCTTCGACTCCAGGGCCAAGGAGGACTATGGGACTTCTCCGAAGGCTTTGTACCTCCCCGGGGTCGGGACATGCAAGAAGACAGGAGCCCCTACCCCGCCAAAAACAGGGTACCCCTTGCACACCCCTTATATACCCTATACAAACTAAGGGCCCACACATCAGAACCCTTCAAAGGAGGTTAGGGACCACATTAACTAAGGGCCCATGATACTCTAAACCCTAAACCCTAAACCCTAAACCCTAAACCCTAAACCCTAAACCCTAAACCCTAAACCCTAAACCCTAAACCCTAAACCCTAAACCCTGCATAAATCCTAAGAGCACGCACGGGCCTCAGCTCTTCGAAGCCGCTGTCCTCCAAAGACAAGGCTTCGGGGCAAAAAGGTTTAGGGTTTAGGGTTTAGGGTTTAGGGTTTAGGGTTTAGGGTTCAGGGTTTAGGGTTTAGGGTTTAGGCCTCAAAGCCCCCGCCCGGATGCCTCGGAACGCAGAGGTTTAGGGTTGAGGGCCGAGGGAGGGCTTAGGATCCCCCCTAAACTCTATACACAAACCCTACACCCCAACAGCCGGGGAATGACAAAAGAGGTGCCCAACCTTTGTTTCACGGGAACCTTTAAGGGTGTCCTAGAAGTCTTGCTGGGAAGCCCAGTAACTTGGGATGCTCTGAAACAAACATCTCATGAATAGGGATTATCGCGCCCCTGTTATCATCCTTCTTAATGACTGCTAGTATAGCGGGGGAACAGCCCAACCAGGAACCCTCATCATAATGAGGCCATCCATGTTTTTTCAGGGGGGCCGGTTGCTTTATAAGGAGACTTCGACCCAAAACAAAAAGGGGCAAAGGGTACCACCACTGGGCCCCCCCCCCCCCCCCCCCTATATTCCCCCTTATCCCCCCCCCCCCCCCCCCACCCAAGATCCCCGCTTCTACCCCGCTTATACCCCTCTTGTATTCTATCACCCCTTGATCGCCCCTCATACCCCCACCATACACTTGCTTCCTCCCGGTGGCGAGCTTGGGGGTTCGTCTTTGGCTCGTCGTTGCATCTAAGAGCTCCTAATAACCTCAGAGTACACAGGCGCTGCCTTCTTTAATTTAGGGTTAGGGTTTAGGGTTTAGGGTTTAGGGTTTAGTGTTTAGGTTTAGGGTTTAGGGTTTAGGGTTTAGGGTTTAGGGTTTAGGGTTTAGGGTTTAGGGCTTAGGGCTTAGGGCTTTGGGCTTTGGGCTTAGGGTCCCCCCACAACGAGTCAAGGGCCGGCTGAGAGACAAAGGCATGTAGGATGAGGCTAAGCCAATGACGCCGTGCCGTTCCTCTATCCTAACCCCAAACTTTAAACTTGGGATGCTCCCCCTTATACTAGCAATCCTTAATAGGGATTCGAGTACTCCCTATTATCATCCCCATTCAGGACTGCTAGTATAAGGGGGAACATCTCAACTCCAAACCCTAAATCAGAAAGAAACCCTCAACCCCTCGGCCGCTCTAGCCCTGACGGGTTTAGGGGTTAGGGCTTAAGGGCTCATATAACTACCCTAAGACAAACCCCAAACCCCCAACCCCAAACCCCAACCCCCCAACCCCAAACCCCAAACCCTAAACCCCAAACCCCCAACCCCAACCCCCAACCCCCAAACCCCCAAACCCTAAACCCTAAACCCCAAACCCCCAACCCCCAACCCCCAACCCCCAAACCCCAAACCCTAAACCCAAACCCCAAACCCAAACCCCTAAACCCTAAACCCTAACCCTAAACCCTAAACCCTAAACCAAACAAACCCCAACCCCCAAACCCCCAACCCCCAACCCCCAAACCCCAACCACAAACCCCAACCCCAACCCCCAAACCCCCAAACCCCAACCCCAAACCCCAACCCCAACCCCCAACCCCCAAACCCCCAACCCCCAAACCCTAAACCCCAACCCCCAACCCCCAAACCCTAAACCCTAAACCCTAAACCCTAAACCCTAAACCCTAAACCCTAAACCCTAAACCAACTCCTGAGGCGACTCTAAGGTCAGCAGTCCTTCTTGCGGAGTTCCACCCGGGAGTAGCCCGAGGGACTGAGGCTTAGGGCGTCGGACTCAGGATATCTATAGGGTTTAGGGTTTAGGGTTTAGGGTTTAGGGTTTAGGGTTTAGGGTTTAGGGTTTAGGGTTTAGGGTTTAGGGTTTAGGGTTTAGGGTTTAGGGTGTAGGGTGTAGGGTTGTAGGGTATAGGGTTGTAGGGTTGTAGGGTTGTAGGGTTGTAGGGTTGTAGGGTTGTAGGGTTGTAGGGTTGTAGGGTTGTAGGGTTGTGGGCAGAAGTGTGCTTACAGGGTCCTCAGGGTCATGAAGGCTAGGTACCTAGGGAACTTGAGGGAAGCTTAGGGAGCCTTAGGGAGAGCGTTAAGGACGACATAGTGCATATACTTTGCGAAGGCTCAATATCCACACTGGCTCAACAAGGTCATGAAAGGTAAATCTTCAGGGGTTCGGCGCCGTGGTGCTTGCCCAGCTTCCCTAAACCCTAAACCCTAAACCCCTAAACCCTAAACCCTAAACCCTAAACCCTCAACCCCAAACCCTTTTAGGCTCATACGGTTTCGAGCTAGGAACCCCAAGCGTGAACCGGAATCCTCGGGCCGCAGTGCGCAAGGTGGGGTACTTGCGACGTGGATCCTGCAAGAATCCGGACGCCCAGGCCCCTAAACCCTAAACTCTAAACCCTAAACCCTAAACCCTGAACCCTAAACCCTAAACCCTAAACCCTAAACCCTAAACCCTAAACCCTAAACCCTAAACCCGGACGCCCTTGCGCCATGGCGACTTGCTGCTGCAGCGCCTCCGGCTGGGCCTCGGCCTTGACGGCCAAGTCGTGGCTCTGCTTCGCCCGGAGCTCGAGCTGAAAGAACGGGTGGGGCGATCCTTCGCCTCCTCGCGCGCCTCCTCTCCACCACCGAAGTTTGTGCGGTTTGGGGTTTGGGGTTTAGGGTTTAGGGTTTAGGGTTTAGGGTTTAGGGTTTAGGGTTTAGGGTGTGATGCTCGTGGTCACTCGCAACCCCAACCCCAAACCCCACACCCCAAACCCTAAAAACCCTAAAACCCTGGAAACCCTAAAATCCTTAAAAGCCCGGAAACCCAAAAAACCCTAAAAAACCCTAAAAAACCCGAAAACCCCTTAAAACCCGAAAAGCCCTGAAAACCCTTCAAAAACCCTAAAGCCCTAAAACCCAACTTTTTGAACGTTCAGAACTCAAGAGCATGCCCTGAGAAGAGCCATAGACAGTCTAAGCCCTTAAATACCCCCAAAGCCCCCTAAACCCTAAACCCAATAAACCCGAAACCCTAAACCCTAAACCCTAAGCCCTAAACCCCCTAAACCCGAAACCTAAACCCGAAACCCTAAACCCTTGAACCCTACGTCCGGGTAGTATTGAAAGAGCTTATGGGTTCAGGTTCAGAGGTTTATGGCTTACACACTGATCCAAATGTTGTCATGATAGCACTGTACAACGGACGTATACGGGGGTTAATATTAAGGGAAAGGATTCTGCCCTAAAGCCTTGAAACCCTACATCCTAAACCCTCAACCATGAACCTTGAACCGTACAACCCTGAACCCTAAACCTTGGGATGTTCCCCCTTATGCCAACAGGCCTTAATAGGGATTGTAGTACTCCCTACTATAAGCCCTATTAAGGACTGCAAGTATGGGCAACATCCCAACCCCCCAAACCCTAAACCCTAAACCCTAAACCCTAAACCCCAAACCCTAAACCCTAAACCCTAAACCCCCAAGCCCTGCATCCATGAGGTTTCCGCCCGCCTGCCGCCTTGGCCTTGGCCAGATGTACCTCACAAGGAGCTCGGCTCCGCACGTTCAGGGTTTAGGGTTTAGGGTTTAGGGTTTAGGGTTGCCTGGTCATACGGTTTGCAGAAGGACGTGCTCCGCGTTTCATACATATATATGTATATACACGTACATATAGATATACCCTAAACCCTAAACCTCATGCTCGAGGAAGACCAAGCCGAAAAGAGAAACCTCCTCTGTGGTCATCACGGAAAGCAGGTGAGCCACACCTTAAACAGCACATGATAGCCTGAGAGGGGGTGTTCTAAGAAGGTGTGCGTCAGGCGCAGAGTTTGAAGGTCTTATTACGAGGTTTCAGAAAACACCCAATCAATCCAGGGCCGAAAGAACAGGAAGCCGTAAGAACAAGAAAGCCCCTGACTCGAGCCACAGTTGTGGAGCTCCTTGGGTTGGGGGTTTAGAGTTTAGGGTGTAGGGTCTAGGGTTTAGGATTTAGGGTTTAGGGTTTGAGACGCCCCTTGGACAAAACCCCCGCCCCCAGGAACTGTGCACTCTAAACTCAACATCCGGAACAGAAGACATGGTCATAGATGGGCCATGCCAGCCCGGAACCCAAGACAAGGTCCTAGGTTGACCCTTGAATATGAAAACTCTCTCAAGTACATTCCCAAGATCCTCTTAAACCCAATCTTTAAAACAAGAAAAAAACATATCCCCAAGGCTCTATCAAATCAAACGCAACACAGCTGCTTTCAAACCCTAAGCCCTAAGCCCTAAACCCTGAGCCCTAAACCCTAAATTCTCAACCCTAAATTCTCAACCCTAACCCGCTAAACCCTAAACCCTAAACCCTAAACCCTAAACCCTAGACCCTAAACCCTAAACCCTAAACCCCCAACCCCAAAACCGCACAGCACGGCGCACTTGCACGTCAGTAGCCTGGCCCGGTGGCACCTGAATGCCCAAGTCTTGCAGTGTGCCTCCAGGCCCAGGGTTTCGGGGGGTTGGGGTTTAGGGCTTGGGGGGGTTTAGGGTTTAGGGTTTAGGGTTTAGGGTTTCGGGTTTCGGGTTTAGGGTTTGGGGTTCAGGGCTTGGGGGGCTTGCGGGTCTTTGTTGTACAGGGGCTCACTGGAATCTGATATCATGATTTGCAGGATGTCACTTATCGGATTTAATGAGGGGCTTGTTAGGGGTTGCGCATGAGGGCACGAAAGCCCTAAACCCTAAACCCTAAACCCTAAACCCAAAAACCCCAAACCCTGAACCTTAAGCTCCTAGTCCTAAATCCGAAACCCCGAAACATTCACCAGGCGTTGTGGGATGCTCTGAGGGCCAGGCCTGCGGTACTTCGGATGCCCACGCTGCGCGTTCGCACGGAGGCCTGACAGAGGAAACAGGCTTTAGGGTTCAATCCTTGATACTTGACGAACTGTAGGGCTTTTCCAGGGTTTAGGGTTCAATCCTCGATGCTGTTTAGGGGTTATATAGGGCTTAGGGGTTTGGGGTTTAGATTGTTGTATCATGGCAGAAGTATTATTGCAGAAGACGCGGAAACACGGGCAGCCGCCCACGCAGCCGCCGCCAAGAACGGGGGCGGAAGGGGGGGGGGGGGGGGGGGGGAGGGAGGATGAGGTTTTTCAACGGGATTTGAAGGAACTCTTCCAAGGACTACCAGGGAAGTGTTGAAGGGTTCTGGGGTTTAGGGTTTAGGGTTTAGGGTTTAGGGTTTAGGGTTTAGGTGGTATCTGGATGTGATTCGAAGGGCCCTGCAGGAACTTGCTGAACTCCAACTCTGAAGCCCTGAATGAAACAGAGATGTTTACTTACTAGTGGACCAGTGGACCAAACTGTGAACAAGAAACCTTCAGTAACATGCAGCTAACTAGGAACAACTTTCAACCATCCTCAAACTAACCCAACACCCTAAACCCCCAAGCCCTAAACCCTCTAGACTCTACTTAATGGGTATAAGGAGGGACCCCTAGAAGGAACCCTTATTCTTTCTCCCCTAAATTAACCACATAAAAACCACTATTTTATATTTATATGTATATATACCTGCTATCGTCCCTGCATACCTAAGTGGCCCTAAAACACCCCCAAGGTCCCTAAACCCCTAAGCCCTAAGCCCTAAACCCCAAACCCCAAACCCCAAACCTTCATCTACATGAGGCTTGGGGTTCAGGGCCTAGGGTCTTAAGACCCTAAACCCTAAACCCTAAACCCTAAACCCTAAACCCTAAACCCTAAACCCTAAACCCTAAACCCTAAACCCAGCGCTCTCCTGGGAGACCTGCTCCTGGTACCGCTTGCTGCCTGGCAGACAAAGGGGTTTAGGGTTTAGGGTTTAGGGTTTAGGGTTTACATGCTGTAGGGTTGTAGGTTTTGTTGAGCTGAGGAGTTGCTTGGGGATTTGGGGTGGTTTTTGGGCTTCGAGCTGGGTTTGGGATTCAAATGTGTGGAGGCTATCCAGGTTTTGTACTTCCGCGGTTCTTTGTAGGGAATGAGGGACTTCTGTATCATATATCCCCCAGTAAATGTAGAGCTTCTTTTGGGTTTTGGGTTTTGGGTTTTAAGCTTAGGGTTTCAGGGTTTGGGGTATAGGCCCTTATAGGCTTTCGGGTTTAAGGTGCAGGGTTTAGCGTTTAGGAGTGTTGCTAGCTCCAAATCTCTTCGCACCCTTACATCTGAACCATAAAAGCCTGAAGCTCAACCCTGAACCCCAAACTTCCACTCCCTAAAACCCCAACCAAGAAATATCCTAGGGTAGTTACATGGTCACTTAGTCTGGGCCCTTGCAAGGGACCTCTTATAAACCCAATACAACCCAAGGGCCCATACTTCAGAACCCTTGAAAGGAGGTATGGGACCATAGCAAGGGCCCATAAACTACCCTCCCTAAACCCTAAACCCTAAACCCTAAACCCTAAACCCTAAACCCTAAACCCTAAACCCTAAACCCTAAACCCTAAACCCTAAACCCCATACTTCAGAACCCTAAGGGGTCCACGCACCGATATAGTGGAATCTTGGGCCTGAAAGGGGTTACCATGTGGCAGCTTTCGGGCCCAAGTGTATACTACTACAGCTGGCAGTCCCTAAAACCTAAACTCTAAACCCTAAACCCCAACCCTAAACCCTAAACCCCAAACCCTAAACCCTAAACCCTAAACCCCAAACCCTAAACCCTAAACCCTAAACCCTAATAACATGGACCCTGTGGGTTCGAAATTCAGGGGTGCACTTGCAGTAAGAGCTGGTTGAGCTCCCAACCGCATTGTTGGCAGAACTGTGCATCAGCGGCGAAGACAGCTCCACCTTGTTTAGGGTTTAGGGTTTAGGGTTTAGGGTTTAGGGTTTAGGGTTCAGGGTTTGGGGTTTAGGGTGTAGGGGTTAGGGTTTAGGGTTTAGGGTTTAGGGGGTATCATCCCATGAACCCTTTAAACCCTAAACTCCGAGAACCCTCGACCATTTGAAATAACCAGGGTGCGCATTTATGCGACAAGGAAACCTATACCCCGAAAAAGGAATACGACTGGCAGTCCCTCATCCCTAAAGAACCCGACAAAGTCCAAAAACCCTAAAACCCTAGGGCATTAAGGCCCTAAAGACGAAAGCCTAAAGCCATAAAGCCCAAAACGCCCAAAACGCCTAAGACCCTAGAAGCCATATAGCCCGGAATGCCCTAGAGCCCTAGAACCCTAACAGCCCTACAGTCCAAAAACCCTGAAAGCCTTTTTAAACGCTCTAGAAGCCCTAAAACCCTTAAAGCCCGAAAGCCCAAAAACTTAGATGCCGAAAACTCGAAAGCCCCAAAAAACCCCAAACCCTAAAACCCTAAAACCCTAAAACCTAAAAACCTAAAACCCTACAACCCCAAAACCCTAAAACCCTAAAACCCTGAAACCCTAAAACCCTAAAACCCTAAAGCCCTACAACCCCAAAACCCTAAAACCCTACCTTGTCACCTTAAGGCCGGGGGGCAGCTCACGCAGCATGCTCGTATGGAGCTTTCCGGCTTGCTGCGCCCGCAATGCTGGCCTCTGCTAGCGGTTTAGGGTTGCTAGCGGTTTAGGGTTTAGGGTTGAGGGTTTAGGGTTCAGGGTATAGGGTTTAGGGTATAGGGTTTAGGGTATAGGGTTTAGGGTATAGGGTTTAGGGTATAGGGTTAAAAGTTTAGGGTTAAAAGTTTAGGGTTGGGATGTGCCGTTTGTTCCGGGTTTCGGGTTTAAGTGTTTTGGGGCTCAGAGGGGCCTTTGACCCTGAACTCACAACCCTGAGCCCTAAATTCCCTAAACTCATTCTGAGAAGCCCAAGAAAGCCCCTAACCCTAACCCCGAAACAGTACACCAAACCCTTACCCTAAACCCTAAACCCTAAACCCTAAACCCTAAACCCTAAACGCCAAACCCTAACACCAAACCCTAAACCCTAGCGCCGCTTCCGGTGCGCGGTCACTCTGAGGGTCTTCCGGAGCCGCTCCGCTGATTGAAGCAACAGCTAGGGTTTAGGGTTCCAAACCCTAAACCCTAAACCCTAAACCCTAAACCTCAAACCCAAAACCCCCCTATATCCCCAAAACCCAAACCCTAAACCCCAAACCCTAAACCCCCCTATATCCCCAAACCCCAAACCCCAAACCCTAAACCCTAAACCCCAAACCGTAAATCCTAAACCCTAAACCCTGAACCCCAAACCCTAAACCGAAATCTAGAAAAACGCCGCAGCCAGGTTGCAGCTGGAGCATGGAGAGGACTCTGGCCCCTGGCGACTACAGGCTTTGGCGGAGTTCAGGGGGATGGGGCTTAGGGCCCTATAAACCCTAAACCCTAAACCCTAAACCCTAAACCCTAAACCCTAAACCCTAAACCCTAAACCCTAAACCCTAAACCCTACACCTGAGGAATGAAGGGGATCTTAAGTGTTCAGGCTGCAGAAAGAGAGCTTGCAAGCTCCTGTAGGGGTGATCCTCTCGAACCCATATACAGGAGTCTGAAAATGTAACCCATATGATTCATAAAGAGGTTTAGGGTTCAGGGTTTAGGGTTTACGGGTTAAGGGGTTTAGGGTTTTGGGTGAATACGAGTTCTCACCTATCCCAATATGGTGTATACCGTTGAGTGTTTAACACACTGCCCCACATACTCGCCAGAATCCGAAGCCCTAGGTGCTAAGCCGGGCCCCTGCGTTCCTAGATTCGGGGCGTGAACGTGCCTGCTGAATCTTGGGTGTGGTTTTGGGGATAGGGGTTTAGGGGTTTAGGGGTTTAGGGGTTTAGGGTTTAGGGTTTAGGGCTTAGGGTTTAGGGTTTTGGGTGTTGTGGGGTTTGGGCTGCGAGGTTCAGTTTAGGCTTCAGACACTGACGTGCTACGTCATACTTACCTGTTGACCCCAGGAAATCCCCTAGAACCTCTCTGCACCCATAAACGCGAAACCCTAAACCCTAAACCCTGCACCCTAAACCCTAAACCCTCAACCCTGAGGCACCGGATTGAGCCACGTAAAACGCGAGCCACCGAGACGCGGGTTGAGCCGACGAACGCGAGCCATGGATCGAGCCACCAACTTTGGGAGCTTTTGATCGGGTCTTAGAGGGTTTAGGGGGTTATTCCCAAACCCTAAACTCCTTTCTCCCCGCCCATACTCTCGATTCAGTGGCGAATTCCGCTGAAACCGTCGAAGCCCGGCCCTCCGCATGACTTTTCTGCTGCTGGACAAGAATTTCATCCTAAGTTGCCGTATAAGACGGATGTGTAGTAGATGATGGTTCCCTTACTATGGCACATGTCATGAAAAGGATACAGATCGTAGATCCTTAACGGCAACCAAGACGTGTGCTAAGATTCCGTGCGGAGTGCAGGAGAACGGCACAGCTACATACAGCTACTGTGAGTGGTTTTGCAGACCTAAAACCACCAGAAGCTTGCCAAGCATCAGGTGGTTTTCGAGAGATCCGGCTCTCAGGCAGCAGCCGTGTATGCTTTCTCGGAAACGCAAACTGATCGCTGCAGAAGCAAACCGCTCGGCAGGGGCCGTGCACTAAAGCTCCCGGCAAGCGCCAAACCTTGAAACCTCCAAGCAACCCTAAACCCTAAACCCTAAACCCTAAACCCTAAGCCCTAAACCCTAAACCCTAAACCCTAAACCCTAACCCCAAATCCTAAACTCTAAACCCTAAACCCTAAACCCTAAACCCTAAACCCTACACCTGAACCCTAAACCCCAATGTACCCCTTGCACCCCCAAAGCCCTGAGAGACTCTAGACTCTAGACCTGTAAAGCCCTAAACCATCAATCCAAGGTCCAAGACCATCCACCCCCCTAAGCCATAAGCCCAAAACCCCTGACATCCCTTCGGCTCTTCCCTAAACCCTAAACCCTAAACCCTAAACCCTAAACCCTAAACCCTAAACCCTAAACCCTAAACCCTAAACCCGGGAGCTTCACACAGGTGCGCGCAGCGCTCGCGAGGAGGCCAGGCTCTGCAGAAGGCACAGCAGTCCCTGCCTCAGTTCTGGGGTATGGAGTTGGGGGTTTAGGGTTTAGGGCTCGGGTTTAGGGTTTGGGGTTTGGGGTTTAGGGTTTGGGGTTTAGGGTTTAGGGTTCAGGGCTTGGAGTTTAGGGATGTTGGTTTAGGGGGTCGGGGTTAGGGGTTTAGGGCTTTTGCTGGGTTTGGAGTTGAGGGGGTTTGGTTTAGGGGCTTAGGGGAGTGAGCGTGCGGGGTGTTGAAGATTTTTTAACTTATATAGGTGAATTCTTATAAAGGTGAATTCTTATATAGGTGAACTCTTATATAGGTGAAATCTCGGGATTTTGGGCATGTGAGGTCGATTGTGCAACCTTGGTGGCATGAGGCGCCACTGTGGCGGTAGTGTGGCCCGCGCCGGGGCATTCCTTAAGAAGCCCACTACCCCCTTAAGAAAGCTCTGAGCCCTAAACTCTGGATCCTCAACCCTGAACCCAAAAAAACAAATCCCAAACCCTAACCCCTAAACCCTAAGCGCAATCTCAACTTGTTGGAAAAAGGTTTCCCAAAGGGCTTGCCAAGCTGCCGCTCTGCATGTGGAGACCGATCCTTCAAAAAGGCTTCTTCTTGGAGGTTCAGGGTACTTGTAAACCCAATTATCACTCTACTTATAAGCCCCCCCCAAGTCCTCTAAGTAGGTTATAAGTAGACTTATAATTTGGGGTTTTAAGTACCCATGGACCTCCAACTAGAGTAGTCACATGGTCCCTTAGCATGGGCGAGTAGCCCCGTATGCACCCCTTATATACCCTGCACAATTTAAGGGCCCATACTCCGGAACCCTGTACAGGAGATAAGGGGCCATATTCAGGGCCCCATACAACTGCCCTTTCAGTCCTCCACCCAGAGTAACCTAGGAATGAACAGGGTGCCCTTTCTTGTTCAAAGGGGCTTATCAGGGAACCTGGACCCTAAACAAAGGGCAGAAGGGCCCAGTCTGGGTCCTCGGTGTTGAAGGTTCAAGGGCTTCAGGGTTTCGGGCTTTAAGGTTTATAAGGGCTGTAGGGCTCAGGGAATTGAGGGCCTTTGCAATGTTGTTTTCGGGCTTAGGGTTTATGGGCTTTAGGGATTAGTGCTCACTTCGAAGGGGTACAGTAGCGCGTCTCAGTGCAAACAGTTCGTACATCGAAACCCTAAACCCTGAATTTCCCTAAACCCTAAGCCCTAAACCCTAAACCCTAAACCCTAAACCATCGATCTGCCCTGCACTTGCGAAGCCCCACAGTCGTTGCCCAGAGGTGCGGGAAGTTATCGCTTGTGCGTGCGCTCATTGTTTGACAGGTGTCAAGAAGAACATAAGGGTAGGGTTTAGGGTTTTAGCGTCTAGGGTTTAGGGTTTAGTGTTTAGGGTTTAGGGAAAACACAGACAGGTAGAAGGATGGACGTCTCGATCGCAAAAAAGAGCTCACCGAGCAACTTTTCAGAACTTGGAGGAACCTCCAAATATGGGGAATTCTCTCTATTCTGGGCAGACAAAACGAGCCCAGCAGACAAAACGAGCCCAGCCTGCAGAACACAATGGAACCCACGTCGGTTTGGGGCTTCTGTTTTTTTGGGGCTTCAGAGTTTAGGGGCCATAAATAAAGGGAAAGCAGAGGCCACTAAACCCTGAACCCCTAAACCCCCAAACCCCGAAACACCTAAACCCCCAAACCCCTAAACCCCTAAACCCCCAAACCCCTAAACCCCCTAAACCCTAAACACCCCTAACCCTAAACCCTAAACCCTAAACCCTAAACCCCAAACCCGAAGCCCACTCTGGTTACCAAGCTGCATGCTCCACAAAGACCGGCACGAGTCTCCCAGCGCCCTTTTGGGCCCAACCTTGTTGTTTAGGGTTTAGGGTTCAGGGTCAGGGTTTAGGGTTTAGGGTTTAGGGTCAGGGTTTAGGGGTTTAGGGGTTTAGGGGTTTAGGGGTTTAGGGGGGGTTTAGGGGTTTAGGGGTTTAGGGGTTTAGGGGTTTAGGGGTTTAGGGGTTTAGGGGTTTAGGGGTTTAGGGGTTTAGGGGTTTAGGGGTTTAGGAGCCTGCTAGCTAGGACCACTAGGGTGGGTGGCGGTGGGGGGGGGACTACAGCACCATATCTGCTCGCCCGCACCCTTTTCCCGGGCCTCGTGGCTTCATTTTGTTTGTGTTTGAGAGAACTGCCTTTAACAAACACAACTAAACACATTCAAATTTGTAAGCCAAATTTGAGAATTTAGTTGATATAAGGAGTTCAGTTCAGGCCAACACTATATGTATATATATATATATACATATGCATACACACCCTCAACTTACCCTGCAAGCAGCAAGCATCGCAAGCTTTGCTCCAGTTGCGTGGCGGGAAGCTCCACTCGTGCACCCGGCCGGTGTACTGGACGGACGCGCTGGCCGTGCCTTCAGAACCCCCAACAACCCCCTGATTCTTAGTAGGGAATGAGGGAATGAGGGCCTTTTGTAATCCCTTAAAGGGTATAATATATACATATACATATATATGGGGCCTCATTCCCTCATTCCCTACGAAGAACCAGCCAGACAAGCTTAGTTGTCCAGCAACCTGGAGAAATTAAAGGTTAACCTTTGGGATTTTGTAGGGGTTAGAACGCCCCAAAAAGGTTAAAGGTTACTACTAGGAAGTCGACTTTTGTGGCAGGTGCTTTCAGGTTTTGGGCTTGCAAGCCTAGGGCAAATTATCTTTTGCAACATCAACCCCAAACCCCAAACCCTAAACCCTATAAGAGGGTTCTTATACCTAGGAACCCCACGAACAGGCTCTGAAGGCGGGACGTGGTACCGAGTGAGGCTCCGGTCCACGCCGAGATTGCCTTTGCCCGTTGTTCAGCTTCCTCAGTCTCCCAGCAACTTCAACCAAAGGACTGCGAAAGTTGAAACCCTTGCAGTAGGGTGTAGGGTTGAGGGGCCACCAACTTAAGCCCTATAAATCCCATAAACCTGAAAACCCTAAACCCTAAACCCTAAACCCTAAACCCTAAACCCTAAACCCTAAACCCTAAACCCTAAACCCTAAACCCTAAACCCTAAACCCTAAACCCTAAACCCTAAACCCCACCCCCCAAACCCTAAACCCTAGACCTCCCCTCCCAACAACACAAGATAAACGGAACCAAGGCTATACCGAACTTGGAGCCCTAAACACAAAGATGCTGTTTCTTAGGACTTACAGTGCCCAAAAAAATATTCAAAAAAAAAAAAAAAAAAACCTAAGAATCCCCAAGGCGGGTCCCAGCTTCCGGGGCCTCGCCGGCATCGGCGATCGCTGGCGCCACCCGCGCAGCTGAGCGGGCCCGGGGAAGCCAGTGCTGCTGGCCGGCAAGGGACGTCTCTGCGGCCAAGTGCAGGTGCCTAGGGTTTAGGGTTTAGGGTTTAGGGATTAGGGTTTAGGGTTTAGGGGGGTTTAGGGGGGTTTAGGGTTTAGGGTTCCCCCCCCCCCCAGTGAGCTTAGGGTTTGGGGTTAATCAGGGTTTAGGGACACCAAGGAAGCCTAACCCCTGATTGTGTGTGCTTCTTGCTCTTTCTAGGGAGTGTAAACGAGAACCTAACTCAGCCCAAACAAACACACAGAGGGGGTGTGGAGTACGATTTGCAGAGCATATCCTAGCCAAATCCCGGGTGCTGCAGGAGCCCTGTGGTCAAGGAGGCTCCCAGGAAGGACTCCTGCTCCAGAACTGCATCATTCAGTCTCCAGCCCACAGCAGGTTCGGACCAGCCCATCTGATAGCCGCAAAGCACCTTGGGCTCCCTCAGAACCGAGGACAACATCGGGGAACCTGCTTTGGTGGTATGGGAACCTGCCTTCATGGTGGCTTGAGTTGGCGCTATGAGGGGAACCCTGCCACAAAAGAAAGGGCAAAAGGGTACCACACTGAGCTAGTTTTGCTTAAGACCCCTCCCCCCCCCCCCAAAAAAAAAAAAGGAGGTAAGAATAAACAATAGACCCTACACTACGCAGGAAGAGTATGAAGCAAATACTAAGGAGAGAGTCCTAGGAGCACTGCATCGCTGGACCATAGGTCTCCAAAGCCTGCGGTGTTGGATGCGGAAAGCGCCTTCGCGCAGCGCGCCGAAGTCGCTGAGGATCTCCGTTGAGAGCACCCGAGCCGTCGCGGCCTCCCGCTGCTCCAAGATCCTGCTGGACACTCGGGCGAGCATGGGCGGGACAATCTGGGCAGCGCCCGGAGAAGCTGCCACCTCGCAGGCGGAGATTGTGGAAGCGCAGGCGGAGAACATCTCGGAGCCGGACGTCTCTGCCAGATCGCCATCGCTGAAGAGGCAGAGCGCCTGCTCCCAGGCTGCTCCTCGTGCGCATGCGACGATGCTGGCTGACCGGGTGATGTCGCTTTGCTCAAGCTTCAAGCAGCTCATCTCGGACAGAAGGACAAGTGCCTCAATCCACCTGCAGCATTTCTCGCATGCGCTGATGGCAGCATTGTACGCGATCGTGCCGAGCTCAACTCCAGAACATGAGGCTTCACCCAGGAGTTGTAGGGCTGTGCGCCAGTGCCCGGCCTTTTCGCAGGCGCTGATCGCCGAGCTCAGAGTCACGATGTTGGCCTGCAGCTGCCGCTGCTGCGCCTCCCTCAGCAAGAGCATCGCATCCAGCCACCTCTGCGCCTGTCCACATGCCACCATGGCCGAGCTATAAGTGACCTTAGTAGCCCAGTAACCATACTTTCATAAGGGCACCCTTTTTTTGGTTGGTTACTTCATAAAGGGAACCAGAACCAAAAAAAAGGGGGAAAACGGTACCACTGGGCTACCAGGTGACGATGTCCGGCAAAATCGTCTGGAGCCTCATGCGAGGCACCACGGACAGCGCCAGCTCCCACTGCCCCTGCTCCAAGGCGCTGAGGACAGCGTTGAAGGTGACTTGGTTTTGCGCCACATGCCTCGGATGGCCCCCTTCAAAACCCTCTGAAAAATACTCATGAATAGGAATCCTTTAAACCCAGTAAGGGAAACATATATCCCCAAAGGGCTTAATATAGGCGTCGGAACAATGACTAGTCGTATTCCCTTGTAGAACCTCTATAACTGTACTACAATAACCCCCAAAACCCTATTCTAATTATTAAGGCCCCCATATTACCCAGATGCCTTCTTGGCATCTCTGCGTGTAGGTAGAGAGCCAACTCCCACCGCCCACCGCAGCCCGCCGCAGAAATGGCGGTGCCAAAGCTGACGACGTCATAGCGCCCAGCCTCCAGCAGGTTCTCAAAGAGTGTTCAACTATGCGTTGTTAAAAAAGCACCCTAAACCCTAAACCCTAAACCTGAAATTTTCTAAGGTTAGAAAAACCCCGGTTTAAGGTTGTTTAAGGTTCAAAAGCCTTAAGCCCAGCCTCGAGCAGGTTCTCGAAGAGCGACAGCGCATGCTGCCACAGCTGCTGACTGGTACAAACCATCATGGCCGCACTCACGGCCACCCTGTCCACCACGGCCGGCCTGCTGTTGTTGCCGCTGTCTCGCCGGCCGAGCCCGTGGACATCCTTGGTTGACCAGTATCCTGGGGAGGTTAACCTTTGGGATTAAGGGGAATACGATACCCCAAAAAGGTTAAATGTTACCAATACTATACCAGTAAGCATCCTCCAAGAGTTGCAGAGCCCACGTCCACGTGCCTGCCGCCTCGCCAGAGAAGAGCGAGATTGCCCCCGTCAAGGCCATGCTATCCACCTCCACTGCGCCTCGGCACATCTCCTGCAGAAGTGACACGCCCTGGGTCCAGGCTGTGCCTCGGGCCAGGGATGAAATCCCGGAGCTGGCGGCCACGGTGGCCACCTTCCCGGCACCGGCCTCCGAGAGGCCCGAGAGGTCGGATAATCGTAGCATCGCCCGAGGCCACTCTTTCCTATACTGAACTTGGAACCCTAGCAACAATCAGAATTTTTGCTTTGTTTCTTAAAAATGCAGTACCCAAGAATGAACAACTATTCTCAAGAATTTCCAAGTTTCGCACCTTTGATGCAAAGGGTCGTGGTGACCCCATCAGCCTCGAGGGCCCTGCGACCCAGACCCTCCAGCAGCCCAAGTGCTTGTGGCCACGCGCCCGACGCATATTGCCCAGCGCAGGCGTCTGCAGCCGAATTCCAGGTGACTGCATCGGTCCTCAAAGACAGCTTCCTGACTGACCGGAGCAACTCCAGGGCACCAGCCCAGTTCATCTCTTCAGGAGCAGCCGCCTTGATGCAGGTGTTGCAAGTCACCACTGTCACCTCCAAGCCCAGCCACTGCATCTCGTCGGCCAGAAGGAGGGCTACATCCCATTGCCTATACTCCCCTTAGAACCTTAACAAAAAACATGATTTTCAATATCCTCTTTGGGTTTTATATATAAACAAAAAACACTTCCCAAGCAAGATATAGTTGCCGGCCCTTGGAGCAGCTGGCGGCGCAGGCGTTGAAGACGACCACCGGGGCCCCCGGAGTGCTGCGCAGGACCGCCAGCGACTGGGGCCAGGACGTTGTGCGGCTGCTGGCTCGGATGGCTGCCAGGGCCTCCCCGGGTTTAGGGTTTAGGGATTTAGGGTTTAGGGCCGTTTAGGGTTTAGGGTTTAGAGTGTTTTTGTGACGGGTTGCATCTGCCATGAGAGGCAGAATCTACACTACAGGCACGTGCTTTCTACGAAGGCAAAGAAGACCGTGCGAGCGGTAGCGGAAGTACTTGCAAAAGTAGCAGGAGGGCCTGTCATGTGACCGACGCACTCCGTGCGTAAGCGTGTGTTTGAGGATTACGGCGCTGACGGTTTAACAGGGGTTGGGGTGAAGTCCGCAGAGCTAGACGTCCGAGCCGGTGTCTCTTCAACAAGTACCTGCCTCCTTGGGATTCATCGGCAGCTGCTTCCCGCGAGGCCTCGCCTTACACGCGCATGAGTGCGGCCCGGGTCCTGCCGGGATAGGGCTGCCTTGAGCATGGCTGCGAGTGTGAGCCCCCAAAACCCAGAAAGCGCAAAGTTCAAAAACCCCTTGATTAAGGATCAATATATACCTTAAACTATCAGTGGGATCCTTTGTATGCAATGGAAGGCCTGCTCCTCAATTTAGGGATCTTGGCCCCTTTGGGAACCTGCAACAACGATGATGGAAGGTTCGGGTGTCCAGGCTGGGCCCCAGGGGCCGAAACCACTGGGCACAAGAACCCGGGAAGCAAAAAGGTCTTAACTATACTGAACTTGGAACCCTAGCAAAAATTGTAATTTTAGCTGTTTCCTAGGAATTAAAGTGCCCAAAAATTTAAAAACTATTTCCAAGTACCCCGAAGTTAACTGCTTCCTCCCTGGAAACCGCAAAGCACGGTTTACTACGTAGACATTTAAACAAAGATCGTTCCCAGATCCGCGTGGGCGTGCGCGGATGGCTTGAGGTGAAGTTTTCCGGGCCTAACATAGAATAGACACATACCAATATCATCCAAAGAACCTGTGCAAGGTCACTGGGCCCCTGAAACAACCAGGGTTGTGGGTTTACGGTGCCCCAAGAAACCCTAAACCCTAAACCCGAAACCCTAAACCCTAAACCCTAAACCCTAAACCCTAAACCCTAAACCAAGGCTCTGAACAAGAATGCATCCCCTCCATCAGCGCATGCCCATGATGGGCCTGGCCCTTTCCTTGAGAACAAGGAGGGGTCTGGGGCTTGGGGGTTTAAGGTTTGGGGTCCCTAAACCCTAAACCCTAAACCCTAAACCCTAAACCCTAAACCCTAAACCCTAAACCCTAAACCCTAAACCCTAAATCCCACGGACATGCCTCGGGCTGCCCATCGTCGCTCTGCATTGCGCAGCGGTCTGCTTCCTGCGGGACAACATGGGTTTAGGGTTTAGGGTTGAGGGTTTCAGGGTTCAGGGTTCAGGGTTTAGGGCTTAGGGTTTCAGGGGTTCTCAAAGCCGAGATGACAAAGGCTCAAAGGCTTAGGGTCTCTGAGCCCTTCAAAATCGGGCACTGGAACTTCCTTCTTGTGCTTCTGTGCTCATTTTGCAGAAACGAGGGTTTAGGGTTTGGGGTTTAGGGTTTAGGGTGCAGGGTTTAGGGTTTGGGGTTCAGGGTTGAGGGTTTACGCTTGAGGTTTCTAGTGTTGAGGGTCGACCGTCCACACACAACAGGGTACCCCTGCAGATTCTAACTATACCATTCGGATATGTCAGGGTGGGCTTTGCTTAGTGTTTTTGTCCGTAGGAGCTTTGTTAATTTAAGGATATTTGCGTTTCGGGTCTGGGTTTCTAAGCCCTAAACCCTAAACCTTAAACACCAAACCCTAAACCCCAAGTTTGAGGTAAGTGCAGGTGTGGGCAAGTGGGACTTGGAGTTCCAGAGGGTTTGGGACTTGCGGTTTCGGGGTTTAGGCTTAAGAGTGCTCTGGGTTAAAACCTAAACGCCTCCATCAAAAGGCCTGGGCCCCCCCAAAAGTTGAAAACCCTAAGCTATTGGACCTTAAAAAGGCCTAACCCTAAACCCTAAACCCTAAACCCTAAACCCTAAACCCTAAACCCTAAACCCTAAACCCTAAACCCTAAACCCTAAACCTAAACCCTAAACCCTAAACCCTAAACCACTTCAGGCTCCGAAACAGAAATCGAGAGCCCTTGCCCCTGACCCTCAAACCCTCAAAGTTCGAAAAAACCGACACCCTCAACCCTAAACCCTCAACCCTCAACGCTCGACCCTCAACCCTCAACCCTCACCTCTAAACCCTCACCTCTGAACCCTCAACCCTAAACCCTAAACCCTAAACCCTAAACCCTAAACCCTCAACCCACGTCTTCAACACCGCAGTGGCGGCTCCCGCATCCCCGCACCCAATGTAGAGGCAGAGGGAGAGGCGAACGCTCGCCAGGCTCCTCCTTCTGGGGCTCCAGAGTTTTGGGTTTAGGGTTCTAAGGACCCTAAACCCTAAACCCTAAACCCTAAACCCTAAACCCTAAACCCTAAACCCTAAACTCTAAACCCTAAACCCTAAACCCTAAACCCTAAACCCTAAACCCTAAACCCTAGAACCCCAAACCCCAAAACCCCACACCCCAACACGCTAAGGCTTGTTTGAGATTGGGGTTTCGCCCTCAGGGCTTGAGGGACTTAACAGTTCAAGTGTAGGGTTTAGGGTTTAGGGTTTAGGGTTTAGGGTTTAGGGTTTAGGGTTTAAGGGCTTAGGGTTTAAGGGTTTAAGGGTTTAGGGTTTAGGGTGTAGGGTTCAGGGTTCATCTTGTGGCAACAGTACTGCTAACTGCTAAGCTTTATGGCTCGGGGCTTATATCTATATGTATATACATATATATATATATAGTTTCTAAATTTATTTATTTATTTAAGTGACAGAGAGGTTTAGGGTGGAGCCCCGAGCCATAAAGCCTAGCAGTACTATTGCCACAAGATGAACCCTGAACCCTAAACCCTAAACCCTAAACCCTGAACCCTGAACCCTGCGGGGCTCCAGCCTAAACCTCTCTATCACTTAAATCAATAAATTCATATATATATATATATAGATATATGTTCATTTGTTTGTTTAATCCCCTGACTCATTCGTGGGCATTGCTGGCAATCTCGTAGGCATTGATGAGAAAACTCGTGGGCGTTGTTCAAAACTCCGTGGGCAGTGTTCAAAACCTCGTGGGCACCTCTTTTTGGTCAAACTGTTGCGTGCATTGGTCAAAAAATCGTGGGCAATTCTGCAAAATGTCGCGGGGTTGTTCGTGGGCATTGTGCGTCTTGTCGTGCGCATTTGCGCGTTGTTCGTGGGCATTGCGTTTGTTTTCGTGGGCATTTGCGCGCTTTTTTCGTGTGCATTGTGCGTCTTTTCGTGGGCATTGCGCGTTTTTCGTGAGCATTGTGCGTCTTTTCGTGGGCATTGTGCGGCTATTGTGGGCATTGCGCGTTTTTCGTGGGCATGGTGCGGTTTGTAGGGGGGAAGTAAATAGTACCTTCCGATAAGAAGACGCTGTTGTTGTGTGTCCCTCGGTTTGTGGATTGTGGATTTTCGTTTTGTCTTCATGAGAAGCTGCTTGACTAGTTAAGGCTTGGACTTGAGATGCTGAACCCTAAACCCTAAACCCTAAACCCAAAACCCAAAACCCAAAACCCTAAACCGCAAGAACTTTTGGGCGCAAGGGCTGGAGTTAGGGTTGGAACTTCCAAAGGTCAGTTCAGGGCTTGGTGCGTTTAGGGTTTAGGGATTTAGGGTTCAGGGGTTTCGGGCCACAAGCGCTTCGGGTTTCAGGGTATAGGGGTTTAGGGTTTAGGGCATAGGGGTTTAGGGTTAGGGTGAACCCCGACCCCTACCAGCCCTAAACCCTAAACCCTGAACCCTGAACCCTGAACCCTAAACCCTAAACCCTAAACCCTAAACCTTAAACCCTAAACCCTAGACCCTAAACCCTAAACCCTAAACCAAAAAACCCTAAACCAAAAAACCCTAAACCCTAAACCCTAAACCCTAAATCCTAAACCCTAAACCCTAACCCTAAACCCTAAACCCTAAACCCTAACCCGAAACCCCTGCAAGGGGAGTCCTGGGGTCCCCGTGACGGAGGAGCGGGCTGACCTCGCCCGCCGAGCAGTTCAGGGTTTAGGGTTAGGGTTTAGGGTTTAGGGTTTAGGTTTTAGGTTTTAGGGTTTAGGGTTTAGGCTTTAGGGTTTAGGGTTTAGGGTTTAGGGTGTAGGGTCTAGGGTCTAGGGTTTAGGGTTTAGGGTTTAGGGTTCTGAACCCTACACCTGGTTCGGATACAACTCCTAAGCCCTAAAACCCTGAACCCTAAAACCCTAAACATTAAACCCGCAACCCTTAAATGCCAAACTTCCAAAAAGCCAAGCTCCAAACCCCAGACCTTCGACACCCCCGAAAGCCTACACCCTAAACTCTAAACACCTTAACTGAACTGTAGGCCCGAAACCCTAAACCCTAAACCGTAAACCCCAACCCCAAACCCTACCAAGCTCTGAACTTCCCTCTACCCCAGAAAATCATGAGCCTGGCGCCCAATGTTTCGGCGCTGCCGGGCGATCTCAGCAAACGCTGCGACTGCCTCAAGCGCGACGAGCGGCTGCTCGAGGCTGTGGGGGCTTAAGAACAGGGTTTAGGGTTTAGGGTTTAGGGTTTAGGGTTTAGGGTTTAGGAATCATGTTAAGGGCCATAAACAAAAATCGCGGTTATAATAAGAATCATAATAGCAATCACAGTTGCAATCACAACAAATCACATCGGAAAAATCATATGCGTGGAACAGGGACTCTGCCTGGGTACCCGGGTGGACAGGGTGTTGTATGAGCGGATACCTCAGCTACTTCTGAGGGCAGGGGACGAAACTGAACCTACTGAGACGCCTAGAGTGGTTGGAATGTCCGGTTGCTCCGGCCAGAACCACTGCTAAGAAAACCCTTAGACCCTAAACCCTAAACCCTAAACCTTAAACCCTATATCCCAAACCCGTGGGTTTCAGCATGGCAATCATGCGCGAGCTTTCTCCTCGTCTTGCGCATCCTTGCCCACTCAGGGTTTAGGCTTTACAGTTCGGGGTTTAGGTATGTAGGGTGTAGGGCTTTGGGGATTAGGGTTTAGGGTTTCGGAGTGTTCGGGTTTAGGGTTTGGGGTTGAAGGGTTTGGGTTTCGGGGGGACAGTCTTGACCCCCGAAACCCCAAGCCCTAAGCCCAAAGGGTCTAGGGTGTAGGGCTTGTGGTTAGGGTTTAGGGTACCCAGACACCAACACGAACCTTACCCTCCCTGAAGCCCTGCACCACAGCTGAACGCAGAGCACACATTCCTATATGGCCATCCGGTTATGGCCCCTTTGGGGGCTTAGGGTTTGGGGGGGTTCCCTCATATGCTGGTCTATAGTGCCCGTATTGCAGAGGGACCGTAAAAGTTTATAAAAGGGGACCATAACTAGCCACAGCTTCGAGAAGTGCTTGAAACTTCTTGCTCTGAGGCCGTGCGGACTCAGATCTTGGTACCAACCTATACCCGGAACCCCTAACCCCAAAGACTAATCCATGAACCCCCAAACCCCAAACCCCAAACCCTAAAGCCTAAACCCTTAAACCCTAAACCCTAAACCCTAAACCCTAAACCCCAAACCCTAAAGCCCTAACCTGGAGACGATTTTGGGCTCCTGTAGTATACGCCCCCCTAGCCGGGCCTCTTTAGTCCCATGACGTCACTGAGGACGCCTTGGTGCCGTTTGGGGGCTTCGGGGTTGAGGGGTTTAGGGATTTAGGGTTCTAGGGTTCTAGGGTTTTAGGGTTCTAGGGTTTTAGGGTTTTAGGGTTCTAGGGTTCTAGGGTTCTAGGGTTTTAGGGTTTTAGGCTTCTAGGGTTCTAGGGTTTTAGGGTTCTAGGGCCCTAATTTAGGGTTTAGGGGCAGGTCAGTCTGCAGCCTCTGGGTTTCGGGGCAGGTCAGAGGGCTCTGGGATTTTGAGCAGAAGGATTGTCGGGAAGCAGAGGTTGCTAAAGACCCGGGCCCCTCTGGCGAAGTTGGCGAGGCGTAGTAAAGCCCAACTATGCTAGCGCAGCGTATGTTCGGGATTAGCGGATTCGAGTTTCGGGGCTTCGGATTTCGGAGTGTTTGTTTTTGCAAGCCTTCAACTAAGTGAACAAAGCCCCTAACCTAGACGCAGGGAGACAACAGACAAGAATACGAAGGACTTCCCTTTTTGGTGGTACACTAGTATTGTATTAGTACTACGCCTGGCAAAAACGATACTATCAATCGCCCGGCGGGAAAATACGAATGATAATGCCAAGTATGTCAACAGGTGAACGAAGTGATCGCGTGAACAAGAAAACAACCTGCATAATAGCAAACGTGTGAGCAAAGTGCGCGTAACGTGCCTTGGTTCACACCTTTACTATGACATAACATAGGCTTTTGCACGGTTATCCCCTAAACCCTAAACCCTAAACCCTAAACCCTAAACCCTAAACCCTAAACCCTACACCCTAAACCCTAAACCCTAAATGTAAACTGTTAGACCGCTAGACCGCTAGATGTGAGAGTGAGGGTCTCAAGGGCGGATTCATGGGCGAGACTGGCATTTCGGATGGACTCCAGGGTCTTTGTGGGAGTAAGGTTTAGGGTTTAGGGTTTAGGGTTTAGGGTTTAGGGTTTAGGGTTTAGGGTTTAGGGTTTAGGGTTTAGGGTTTAGGGTTTAGGGTTTAGGGTACAACCCCAGTTCCAGGACGTAACTCCTCCATCTAGTACCTTTCTAAAACCCTAGACCCTGAACCCTAAACCCTAAACCCTAAACCCTAAACTCTAAACCCTCCATCCTCTAAGCCCCATGAGGCAAAAGGCCATTGCTGCCGCACTTTTCGATGGTCTCCGTGCTCCGGACCCGTCGGGCGCTGGTGCCTCCGGGCTACTGTTTAGGGTTTAGGGTCTGTAGGGTTTAGGGTCTGTAGGGTTTAGGGTTTAGGGTTTAGGGTTTAGGGTTTAGGGTTTAGGGTTTAGGGTTTCGGGTTTCGGGTTTCGGGTTTCGGGTTTCGGGTTTTCCTGGGCCTAGGTTTAGGGATCGGGGTTTCGCGTTTAGGGTCGGAATCATGACCATGGTGCTCCGAACCCTAATCCCTGTGTGTAAGAGTGAACAGAAGCCCTTAAGAGCCCCTTGTCCGGGGGCAGCCTTGAAGTGGCTGCCCAGCTTGGGTGTGAGGGGGCAAAAGGACCGAGTAATGAGGTCGTTTCACAGGTTCTGACGCTCTCTCTAAGGTCTACGCGTGACTTCGTTGAGGTCCGTGAGACAAAGCGTAGCGCTTCAGATGCAACTCCGTTATGGCAATCTGTTGCGCCGGCTTGTGCGCCGGGAGTAAGTCAGCCGGTTTGCCATAAGTCGGACAGCGGCTTGAGAAACTTAAGCTGGACACCCTAAACCCTAAACCCTAAAACCCTAAAAACCTAAACCCTAAACCCTAAGCCCTAAACCCCTAACCCTAAACCCTAAACCCTAAAGCGACGGCACCAGTTTTGGAGAGAAGCCACGACTTCACCAGCAAAAGAGTCGGCTGGAGGGGAGCTGCCACGGCCTCAGCCCTGGAAGTGAGCTGCGCCCCGGCTTTGGAAGACGAGGAGTTTTTTGCTTAGCCGACCCAGCGCTGGGGATGGTGCGGAAGGGAGTCTTTGCAGCACACAAGACCTGCATGGACAGGAGGCAACATGGCGAACAAGTGCGGCCTGCTGCCTGTTGATGGTCAGCAGGCTGGGGGGAATGTGTAAGAGTGACCAGAAGCCCTTCAGCGCCCATTGTCCGGGAGCGTGCCTCCATGTCTGGCAGACTTGAACTGGCTGTGCAGCTTGGGTGGTGAGTCGGTCGTTAGTCCGAGTAATAAGGTCGTTTCACACCCTCAACCCTTATGGTTCTCGTAACGGACTACGTAGGGGGTGTGAAACCATCCAAAGGCCTACAGGGTTTCCGGCATGCGCGTTTCGAAGGGACCCTCGGTGCTGTGCAGGCGAGAGGGGCCGCCATTTGTGGCAATAGGGATGTATAGCATAGGGCAGTAGGATAAGAGGCTCCATCCGTTTAAGGGGTTTGAGCACCCCCGCCCGCGATGCCCTGAACCCCTTTGAGAAAGTCGTTCTTGGAACCCTTCGAAACAGCCAACCCAACTCAAGAAGTATCAGTAGATTCACTCTAAACCCTAAACCCTCTAAATCCCTAAACCCAAAACCTAACCCCTAAACCCTAAACCCTAAACCCTACACCCTACACCCTACACCCTAAACCTAAAGCCCTAAATACAGTCATCCCTACAGTCCCGTCCAGTCCCAGACCTTTATTCCGTAGGGGTCAGGGTTGGGGGTTCCCCCCTTCCCTAGCCTAGGGCTAGGGCTTAGGGCTTGGGGCTTGGGGCTTGGGGCTTGGGGCTTGGGGCTTGGGGCTTGGGGCTTGGGGCTTGGGGCTTGGGGCTTGGGGCTTAGGGCTTAGGGCTTAGGGGGCTTATAGGGCTTGGGCTTATAGGTCTTAGGGCTTAGGGGGTCACACGTTGATATCTGACCGTGTGGTGGCGGGCCTGTACGTTTTAGGGCATACACGGAAAGCGCTGTAAATTACAGGACTTCGTGCGTGTGGCTGTGGAAATTGAGGGATTCGTGCTTTAGGAAATCCAGGAACTCAAACTTAGGGCACTCATTTTCGCACACCTTCCCCAAGCGATCCAGGATGTTCGCTTGGGGACCAATTGCCAGCGCCAGACCCAGCTGTAGTTGTGTTCGATGAGACGCACATTGTATAAAAGAGGCAAAAATGCCGCAAATAGCAGGGTTTTGGTCATGTTCGCAAAATGGCATGAACGCTTATGACAGTGCCTTGTGTGGCTGAACATCAAACATCCTCCAGCAACATGTTGTACAAAGAGGCAAAAGCGCCGCAAATAGCAGGGTTTTGGGCATGTTCGCAAAACGGCATGAACACGTGTGACAGCGCCCGTTTTGCTGAACATCAAACATCCTCCAGCAACATGTTGCACAAAGAGGCAAAAACGCCGTAAATAGCAGGGTTTGGGGATGGTTAGAGTCAAATGGTCGTAACCAATCCCCCCCCCCTCCCCCCCCCCCTCCCCGCCCCTCAACAGAAGAACACTCTCTCCAGACCGGAAATTTCAAGAAAACCACACGGGCAAATAGCAACGTGTCAGGGCTTAGGGCTTAAGGGTTAGGGTAAGGGTTTAGGGCCTAGGGGTAACGTTTTTGGAGGGTCTAGGGCTGGTTTAGAACGTTCCTTTTCAGCCTGTAAAGGGTCTTTGAGAAGGACTTGGAGTAAGGGGGCCCTATCATTACATGTAAATTAGGGTATCTATTTCTTGTACCCCCAAAAGGACACCAGGTATGTACATTCACCAATATTAAAAAGGAACCTTATGTACACACACCAAGAAGAGTAATATAAACCCTACTTCATGTACCTGCATGCTGCCCCTGAACCCTAAACCCTAAATCCTGAACCCTGAACCCTAAACCCTCAAACGCCCACTGCCGGCTGCCTTTTCGCGAGGCCACGGAGGCTTCTGAGGCCGCCAGTCCTAAGCCCAGCAAAACTCGTCCAGGGTTGAGGGTTTAGGGTTTAGGGTGTGGGGTTTAGGGTTACATAGGGTCTTCAGCTCACGATCTGGGCTCGAGGCTTAGGGTTCTGGGGCTCTTGGGGTGAGCCTTCAAGCAGGAAACCCGAAACCCGAAACCCGAAACCCGAAACCCGAAACCCGAAACCCGAAACCCGAAACCCGAAACCCTAAACCCTAAACCCTAAACCCTAAACCCTAAACCCTAAACCCTAAACCCTAAACAACTTCAGCCCAAGGTTCCATCATCCGCCTGGCTCGGCAGGGGCACGCCGCACTGCGGTGCAACCTGCTGGCTTCCCCACCCCTCTTCCGTTTAGAGCTTCGAGCTTAGGTTTAGGGTTTAGGGTCTAGGGTTTAGGGTTTAGGGCTTAGGGTTTAGGGTTTAGGGCTTAGGGTTTAGGGTTTCGGGTTTGGGGTGGGCCTTGTCACCCTCCCCCTCTCCTCGCCCCCATGCTTTCGCCCTGGACCACCCAGAACTTCGAGGTTGTTCTGCACCAGGGGCTTCCATCGTGAATTTCCTTCTGGTATAGGGTAGGAAAGAGGCCTGAACATGGAACAATTCCCACCTTAACTTTAGGGACTGACTAGGGTTTAGGGTTTAGGGTTTAGGGTTCAGGGTTTAGGGTTTAGGGTTTAGGGTTTAGGGTTTAGGGCTTAGGGTTTAGGGTTTAGGGTTTAGGGTTTATGGCTTAGGGGCTTGAGAGTCGCACCGCCAAGTCCCGAAAAGAGAGATGACCGCCTGCTGAAGACGCCGCTGCCGCTCCTCCAGCTTCTGGATGCACTGCACCAGGTCCTGCGCAGGGGTTTAGGGTTTAGGGTTTAGGGTTTAGGGTTTAGAGTTTAGAGTTTAGGGTTTAGGTTACACATTGGGATGCTCCCCCTTATACTAAAGGCTCCTCAAAAGGGGTTCATCATAACCCGCCCCATTATAATCCCTGTTAAGGACTGTTAGTACAACGGGGGCGCATCCCAAGTTATATCAGGGTTTAGGGCGCAGGCTTAAGTTTATACGTTTCGGGTCCAGGGTGGCGGTGCAGGGCTTAGGTGTAGGTTTATAGGGTGTTGGCTTTGGGGCGTTGGGGCGCAGGAGAAGTGTTGAAAGGATGCAGTCCTCACCCTAAACCCTAAACCCTAAACCCTAAACCCTAAACCCTAAACCCTAAACCCCAAACCCTAAACCCTAAACCCCCCCAAAAAACCAAAAAGCCAAAACACCGAGCCTTGGTGCTCCTCAAGCCTTGAACAGAAGGAACCACGGCAACCAACCCCTTATGGAAAGGAGGGCCCAGAACCAAAGAGTCATTGTAAAAAGCCCCTAAACCCTAAACCCTAAACCCTAAACCCGAAACCCTAAACCCTAAACCCTAAACCCCAAAAACATCCGATGATAAGCCCTAAGCCCTAAACCCTCTCGTAAGTCGGGAAGCCGACATCAAGTCCTGCAGAACGTGATGCATGGAGATGCTGGGCCTGGAACTCTGTGGGTTCTGGGTTTAGAGGGCAGAAAGTCTAGCTGATCTCCTCCATTTCGGATCTGGCCCGCGTGCAGAGGGGCATGAGATGAGGCGCAGCCTTAGCAACTTAGGGGAAAGCCCCTAGCCCCAAACCCTAAGCCAACTCTAAACCGGGACTTGGGGTTTCCAGGGGCTGTTTATGCAGGATTCAGAGGACCTACAAGACTTCAGTGGGCTAAGCCCCAGAGCTCGTTTTGAAGGACTTAATACTGAGCCGGGATTGGGGAGGGTTGGGGTTTAGGGTTTGGGGTTTAGGGTTTAGGGGTTAGGGTTTAGGGTTTTGGGTTTAGGGTTTAGGGTTTAGGGGTTAAGGGGTTAAGGGGTTTGAGGGTGTAGGGTGGTTTCGGCAGAATTGTCCAGCATTGGGTTTGCTGCTCACGGGCCAAGCCCACAGTCTGAAAACCCTGAGCCGTGTCCGTTGAAGGATTTGAGGTTAAGGGTTTAGGGTTTAGGGTTTAGGGTTTAGGGTTTAGGGTTTAGGGTTTAGGGCATCCTGCGGCCACACACAGGCCTTCGGAAGCCTCTCACGAGGCTTTTGAAGCCTAAACCCGAGTCTCAAACGCCTTGAGACCCCAAAGCCCTAAAACTGCCCCCCAGGCCCAAAAGTCATAAATCATTGGGTTTGGGGTTTGGGGTTTGGGCTTTAGGGGTTTAGGGTTTAGGATTTCGGGTTTGGGGCTTAGGGTTTAGGGTATAGGGTAACCCTTAGCCACAAGGGGCTCGCACCGTGGCCAAGCGCCGCTGCAGAGCAGCGAAGCGTTCTAGGCTGCCTGCGAATCCTGGCAAGGGGAGGGGGTTTAGGGTTTAGGGTTTAGAGTTTAGGGTTTAGGGAAAGTTTAGGGTTTAGGGTTTAGGGTCTAGGGTTTAGGGTTTAGGGTCTAGGGTTTAGGGTTTAAGGGTTTAAGGGTTTAAAGCGCCATGCAATCCTCTGCTTGAGCTAGATGCCTGTTAGTATTTGCGGCAGGAGTACACATAACCAGAAGCGATACTCAGGGTTACACGGCGATAAAGATTGGCAACCACTCCCTGGCCTAAAAGCCCGACTCCCCCCCCCCCCCCCCCCCCCCCAATGGGTCCCCAAGAAAGAACAGCCAAGGTGTCCCCAAACCCTTTGCAACACCATCAATCCCCTAGATTCTGTGGATTTAGGACTTCAGGTTTGGGGTTGAGGGGCATGGCCCTGTATTTTTGGGGTATACCCCTTATATACCCTATGAACCCTAAGGGCCCATCTTTAAAGAAGGCAGGTAGGGGAAACACTGTAGGGGTTTAGGGTTTAGGGTTCAGGGTTCAGGGTTTAGGGTTCCTAAACCCGAGGCCCGAAACCCCAAACCCTAAACCCGATAGCGGGCTGGGAACTTAAGAGTTTCGGATGTTCGGGATTGAGAGGAGGTTCAATCTTTGGTCGCGTCTATGATCAAGGGTCTTGGATTCTTTGGTGGGGGCGGAGGTTTTGCGGCAATGTTACATCTTCGGGTTTAAGGCTCGAAGGTTTTTGGGGGGTTTTGGGGGGTTTTGGGCCTTTGCAGGCTTTGGGGCGTGCAGGAGCATTCAGCATTCAACCCTAAATCCCTGAACCCTAAACTCGGCCCGTCAGAGGGGCGTAGAGACAGTCCTGCGCCCTTGCGCTGCACCGAGACATCCTGTCTGAAGCATAGGATCCCTTTTTGTGTCCCCTTGTCGGGTTTAGGGTCTAGGGTTGCGGCACTCCATAAACAGGACCCCCCCAAAGGGACCCTAATTTAGAGAACCGCCCATATGTTTTCACCCTTAAAGCATTGGTCGTAAACTCTGGATTCTTTTGGGTTTGGAGCTGAGGAAGCTTGATTTTGAAATCCGTGAACTGTGAAGGCCCTGACGGCCCCAAAAGGCCCTATCAAGGTCCCCAGGGGCCGAACCAAAAGCCGGTAAACGCAAGTTACCTCCAAAACCCCTCCATAACTTGAAAGCACAAAGTGTAGAGAGTTGAGGGCGGGAACCCCTATGGTAACCCTAGAACCGGAGTATGATGTGACCTTGTCTTCAAAGCTTTAGACAGTTGCAGATGCGAAGAAGACGCTCCGACTACCGGGAAGCCAGTCCTGTGGGGGAAGCGCATTGATGGCGCCGCGCACCTTGAGGGCGGTGGGGGGAGCGGGGAGGGAGAGGGGTTTCGGGACGCTGAACCGAAGCCCTAATCTTTCCTGAGTGTGTAAAGCTCAACAATCACAAGCGCATCCTCAGTCCCCAAAACCCATAGCCCGAAAATCAGGAAAAAAAAAAAAACTACAAAATACAGCCCTACGACATCGAACTCCGAAAAGCCTAACGGCCGTGTGTAAGTAGTTTCAACACTGCCCATATATGCAACAGCCTACTGGTTCTGAGCAGGAAATTAGATACCTCACATACCCCTATATACACCTTTGAGGAACTATCATCGGGTACCTCATTCCCTCATTCTCTACTAAGAACCAGTATAGGTTCCTTAAGGGAGGAGTATGTAACCCAAGGTTCCCTTACACTCCCCACTCCTCCCTAAGGCTTAGGGAGCCTCCCTAAGGTCCCCACCCATGAAGCCTTCCCTTAAGGACCCTATCGTATTTGTAAGGAGGTCCAAAACCGTATGAGTGAACCTGAAACCCGAAACCATCAAAACCTGAACCCTGAACCCTACATCCTTAACCCTAAACCCTATAAACCCTATAAACCCTATAAACCCTATAAACCCTATAAACCCTATAAACCCTATAAACCCTATAAACCCCATAAACCCTATAAACCCCAGGCACAATAAACACCATAGACAGTATGAACACTACAAACACTACAAACACTACAAGCACTAGAAACACGATATAAACACTACTGGGATGGCCCCAGACAGCTGGCGAAAAATATTAGTGAAAAGCCATGTTCCAAAAGCATATGCACTTACAGAAGAAAGGTGACATTGGGCTTGCCAGTCAACAGGAGATAACAACCTTGACATGCGGACGACTAACGAGCGCGAGAACGAAAACGCGAACGACTCTCCACACCGTCCATCGCCACTGCAGACCTGACAGGAGGAATATTTGTTAGACGGTTTTCAAGATCTGAGAGTTTCAAGGCAAAATTTTGGGAAATGCCGGTCATTAGGTCAATGGATACATACACAATCATGAGGTTGGCGTAGGGTATTGGGCTTGCCCCCCCCAATAATTCTGCTGCTGCCGAAGTTTGAGGGCATACTTTTTTGGGGTTTCAGGGTCCTGGTGTGTGAACGACTACATGTCTTCTGCTTCTGATCAACTGTCGGGTCTTCTGCCTGGCCCACCTACCACTTTGTTTTGTGGAGTTGCTGCCCACGTATCATGGGGTGCCGCCTTAGGGTTCCACAGTCCGGCCGAGCAATGCTCTAGGTCCGCTGCGTCGACCCAAGGTATCAGCATGATCCCATGATGACGGGCGATGGGTGCAGATCACGAATGCCCTTTCCTCTTTGCCCTCTGAGGTTTCTCCTGCCGCGGCGTGGCAAAGGGACTGGCGTAGCATCCTCATGTACCACATCTCTTTGTCCGCGGTTTTTTCGCCCACAGGCGGGCGCAGGAGAGGCTGTCAGAGGGAATTGTGGCATGGAGCTCAAGCTTAAGGCTTCTCACTTCAATTCAGGCCCAATCTTGCTGCACTTCCTTTAGCCTATAGAGTTGGGGCTGGAGTTCATAGTTCATAAGCTTGAGGCTGTCAGGCTTTCCAACTCCTCGGGTAGCTCGAATACACTTTAGGGCCGGGTTTATAGGGTTTAGGGGCTGCAGGGTGCCTTTGACTTCTGCTTCTGATCAACTGTCGGGTCTTCTGCCTGGCCCACCTACCACTTTGTTTTGTGGAGTTGCTGCCCACGTATCATGGGGCGCCGCCTTAGGGTTCCACAGTCCGGCCGAGCAATGCTCTAGGTCCGCTGCGTCGACCCAAGGTATCAGCATGATCCCATGATGACGGGCGATGGGTGCAGATCACGAATGCCCTTTCCTCTTTGCCCTCTGAGGTTTCTCCTGCCGCGGCGTGGCAAAGGGACTGGCGTAGCATCCTCATGTACCACATCTCTTTGTCCGCGGTTTTTTCGCCCACAGGGACCATTATCGGTCGGGCACAGGAGAGGCTGTCAGAGGGAATTGTTGCATGGAGCTCAACTCACTTCAATTCAGGTTTCGGGGCAAACATACAGCGGCCAGCCTGCTACATACCCGGGACTTGTGAGTCACAGTCAACTGAACCTGAAAGAATGGGGGGTCAAAGCAAACATCACCTCACCACAGCCACCAAAGCCCTCATGATCTGACCTGCTCATCTGGTCATGGCCTCGCCATCTGCCAGGGGCTCCGCCTCCTCAGCCGATGGTAGTGGGAGTGGAGTCTGGGTGGAAGCAGGGGTGGGAGGGAAATCAATGGGATCGCAGATGATCTTGGAACAAAAGTTTGGCAAAGAGTCATCTTCGGGGCCCGGGAGTTCTGAACCTCCAAACACATGAAAGGACCCAATGTCGTTACTGTACATAAAAAAAATTGGGGGTCTTCGTCGGGGAGAGCGTGGTTTACAGGCCGGTTCAAAAGCTTCCGGCCCGAAGATTGAACACTGAAGATTTCACGAAAGAGTCCTGTGGAGCCTTGAGTCTTTAATCTTCGGCGGGGAGGAGCCTATGGCCGGGGTAGACAGGTTTAAGTGCAACGCCATGCTGAGGCCGCTGGGACGCTCTGCCTTGCCAAGGCGCCCACGCATCAGCCCCGATGATCCAGGCCCAGAATGACCTCAGCGATGAAAGTTTTCAGGCTCTTCTCAGAATGGCTCGTGTCTGACTGGACTGTTGCATTCTTGACTTCGCCCCTCAGCTTTTACCTCAACGACTCGTGCGCTACCCCTGCCACCCGATCCAGAATTCGAATTTGTCTGTACAAGGACCAAAGCACGTCTTGTGGCGCACCATGTTGAAGCTTCACAACTTTTGCCGGCGCAGGACGACCTCGCCTTCTTTTAAACTGCGGCCGGGCTTTGGGCTTCGCCTTGGGCCTAGCCTTGGCGACTGCAGCTGCTCTCTGCTGCTCCTGTACAGTCTTGTACTTCGTCCACTGGCCCTTGGACAAGGCGACAAAGTCATCAATGAACTTGACAGCGTCCTGCGATGCATCAGCAGGACAGTCGTAGATGATGATTGTGGTGACCTCGGTGACTCAGAAAACGACGACTCCTGACTGTAAGTCATAAATTTTAAAAAGCATGGTAATAACACCGCCGAATCAAGAATGAGCCACGTCCAGAGCTCGGCGGTGACACAGCAAACCATCGACTGGGCCGTCACCAGCTGCATAATTGCACCACGCCTCCTTGGCCAGGACTGGGAGGCCGAAGCCAGCGATTGTGCATGCCGTCTTGCTCCACCGCTTCCTGAGTGCCACTGGGACATGTCACCAAAATACATCAGACTGAGAATGAAAGGAGGCTTCATGTCAAACGATTACCTAGCTCAGCCAAAAGGCCCGCTCGAGCTGTCCACAGCCAAGTCTGCCAAGCAATCCAGAACGACTAAGTGGCAGCAGGCTGCGAAAGTCAAGAAGCCCCTCTCATCAGGGCGCTGAATCCTGTAATCGCCTTCGCGGGCCACTGCCGGGCACGGCTCGCGACAGACGTCCACAACTTTCCACCGACTCAGCCCACTAAGTCGCTGCGATGTCCTGGACTCCGGCGTCAACTCGCTCTGCTTCGTGAAAACATTGGCCCTCACCACTGTCGGCTTGCCGAAAGCAAAACGCGGGCAGTCAGCCCTGCGCGACCGAATGATCTCCATGTTGCTCGCCTTGATGATTTCCTGAGTCAACAGCAAAGTGGAAGAAGGATACACCTAAATCCGGATCACAGACGAGTTGCCAGCTTGGATTAACTATGTTATTTTGGACATGGCACGCTCCGGCGCTTGAAGCGCACCATCCCCATGGTCGGCTGCTCGGGCGTCGACTTCAGCATCTTACGTCCATCTTCCAAGTTTAGACCTGGGAGTACGCTCTCCGACTCCGGGGGCTGCGCGGGGCCGCTGGCACGTTGTCGCAGAGCCACTGCCTGCACTCTTCTCGCCGTAGCCTTCGACTTAGCTGACGGCTCTCTTGGTGCTGGCTTCGACCGCTTCGTCTGGTACACCCGGAATCTGCGACCATGATGGAGTCGCCAGCAACGGATGAAGTCTCTCGACCATTCCGTTGGCAGGAGCTGCGACTCGCCATGCTGGGCCAGCTCTTCCTTGAATCCGGCTTGGACTCCGGTCATGCTGCATTATCATTATTGAATTGTTAACCCGCTAGACGCTAAGCCACCGAACAAGAAAATTGTTGCCATCATGCTACACGGTGTCCGGCGACTTCGGCCCATCCAGCCTGATGGCAAGCAGGTCGTTGTAGGTGGCGCCACTGCCTTCCAGCGGGCCCGCGTGGCTCTGCAACATGTGCTTGCCAATGGCGTGGGCTCGCTCGACTGTGCCTGACGCGTCTTCCTGACAGATGTAAAACGCCACCAACTTCCGGAAGATATCCGGAGAATCCCGCAAAGTGGCCTCCATGGCCCAGAGGGCCCGGTTGTCCTCGCGTCCTCACTTTTCTTATTAAGGCCAGGTCTTACGGTGTCATGTGTAATGAGTCACAGTACTCGACTTTAAACTTTCCCGGTCCCTGACTGAATTAAAATAAAGAAGAAAACCGACTAACTGAGCGAAGCCTAGCTTCTTCGTGGCATCAGCCGAACGACTGCAGAAATGAACCGTCGACTTGTTTTCCTGATCTCCTCCTGGTTCTGCAGGCCCAAGCCCTCGCGGAGTAGCCGGTGCACTCGACTTTCGGCGAACGCCTCGTATGTCGGCCAATCAGCAGGATTCTGCGCAGCTGTGTGGGCTGCGTCCACATCGAAGACGCAGAAGGACTGCTCGAGCGACTGTGGAGGAAATTCAGCGTCCAGCCGTTCCAGCATTGCCCGCACAACTGTGCCCACAGCTTGGAGGGCCTCCATATACTGACGCCGAGTGTCATTCCTTGACGTGCTCCAGAAGTAGTGCACCCTCTCACCGTAGTAGATCGGGCCAGCTTGCATTGCAGTTTTCACGACTCCATGAGTACAA